GAGCTGTGACACCATGGCACTTTACCGAGGGTGACAAAGTGAGACTTTGTCTCAAAAAAAAAATATATATATATACACACACATATGTACATATATAATAGACAGATAAACATGAGTAAATGTTTCCGAGTATTATGCACCATTCGAGCAAATTATCAAACCTGAGCAAGGGGTCATGAGAATCCCCAGTTTATAGCCCATCAGTCAGATGTTCTGAAGGTCGACTTGAGATTGGCCTCTGACATGGAGGCAGTCTCGTGAGACTGAGCCTCAACCTGTGGGGTCTAACTCCATCTAGATAGTGTCAGAACTGAATAGACTTGATGGGCACCCAGTTAGTGGCCTCAGAGAACTGAAGGACTGCTTGGTGTGGAAAACACACACATTGGTTGTCAGAAATGTTGTATGAGAACACAGAAGAGAGAAAAAGATTTTTCTACATTGGCTAGGCATGGTGGCTCACACCTGTAATCCCTAGGCAGTACGATCCCTTGAGCCCAGGAGTTTGAGATAAGCCTGAGCAACATAGCAAGACTGCATCTTTATAAAATAAATTTGAAAAATTAGCTGGACATGGTGGTGAGGGCCTGTAGTCCCAGCAACTTGGGGGCTGAGGCAGAAGGATTGCCTAAACCCAAGAGTTTGAGGCTGCAGTGAGCTATGATTATGCCACTGCCCTCCAGCCTGAGCCACAAAGTAAGACCCTGCTTCAAAAAAAAAAAAAAAAGGGTTTTCTATTTAGATGTTTCCACGAAGTTTCCATGGTGTGCTTACCTCACATCAGCTAGGAGTAACTGTTTTTATGCTTTCATTCATGGCAAGTTATACTGCTAAATTTAAATGCTTAAGCCAGGTTCTGGTGCCTGTAGCTCAAGCGGCTAGGGCACCAGCCACACACACGAGAGCTGGCGGGTTTGAATCTAGCCCAGGCTCACCAAACAACGACAAATGCAACCAAAAAAAAAATGGCCGGGCGTTGTGGCGGGCACCTGTGGTCCCAGCTACTTAGGAGGCTGAGGCAAGAGAATTGCTTAAGCCCAAGAG